TTAAGAAGGTAAAAATTTCAGAGCTCAGGTTTAATGGGATAAAAGGTTACACATCATATTTTATTCAAACATCACTGTTTTATTTACAATCATTTCAGATCATTTCAGGCACTAGTGAAGCAGGAAGAACTGCCCTGCCATATTTTTTTAAGAACCTGGAACACATGGTGGCATTTTTTGCAAATATACAAACATATTAGTAACAAAACAGGAAGAAAACATTTGACATTTTTATTTAAACTTTGGCCTCAATGTAATAATTTTCAGAGAATTTCCGGTGAGAGCCTCATCAGGGTACCATAAGCACTAGAAACTGAGTCTAACTCAGCTTTAGTTTAAAGAAAAAAGGGCCACAGAAACAACTACATGTGACATTGTGATGCCTTGAAACGAACATCTCGCTGTGGTGCAGCACCTTCTGCTACCTCATCTCGCCTCTACCTAGCCTATTTTGAGAATACAACCCTGTTATTTTTCTTCAGGTTTTTTATCACTCTTTTCAGTCTCCTTTGTCAACACTGCTCTCCTGCAGTCCCAGGACTCTCTCCAAACGTTTGGCCCTAATGGGAGGCAACTGTTCGTACATGTCGAAGCCGAGCTGTAAGTGATGCTGGGGCAGACGGAAGAGCAGCAAGTGACTCCTCAACACCTGGAAATGAGAGAATGACAGTGAGAAAGATGTGAGAGGAGCAGCAGGAGTGATTGTGTGAACCAGATATTCCCAACAAGACAGGCTTGTGCCCCATGTGGACCCTGCTGTTACCAGGGGGGATAGAGACACCAGCTGAGGTTAAACACACACATTTCCTTTTTCATACTGACTGTTACACACTATGTGATTTAACCGGACCTGGTGTTTACATGCTAGGCTGGACGTGCACTTAATAAGAACAGTATGAAATGTGCACAAGTGACAGCTCCTCGCATGCCTCTGCCTCAATGACCATCTTTCATTGATCACCTCCCTGAAGATGGATTTCTGTCGTTAATGAAGTGCAGCACTTCCTGTTACGGAAATAAAAGTACTTATTAACAACATACTCTCCCCCGAAAATCAGGGCCTTGTTCCAGAAAGCAGCTTTAGTGAGGTCACCGTGTGTGTAAGTAATCCCAGTGAGCTGAAAGCTCAGACTTCATAATGTTCTAAACAATCGGCTTCAGACAGTTTTCTAATTTGGTCTCATAAGAGCTCTGGCTTTGAGCACAGAAGTCCTACCAATCTGCTGTTTACATCTTTTGTTTGTGAGCAGCAGCCACTCAGAAGAAAGCTGGATTAAATGGATGGAAGGAGGAAGGAGAGAGCTAAAAGATGAACTAAAGCGGCTGCGCAAAAGCCCAGTACAAAATAAATAAGGATTATTTTGTATTGTGAGTCACACAAATCTACTCCAGTACAGTCCAAGAATAGAAATGTGGAGCTAGGACTGAGCACAATAGCTCCACTTTAGAAACACATCATATTTGCTCAATTCACAAAGGCATTATTTTAGAGGGGTGAAGCTGAAAACATTCATACGTGCAGTGGAGCAGCATTAAACACGGAGACATGAAGTGCACGAGCCAGGCTTTGATCTTTAATTCCCTTGTTCTTTTCCAGGAGGTTGAAACCGCTCGACACAGTATGTTGAGGAAGATCTACTACCTGACTGACGAGGTACTCCTCTCCTTTTAGCATGCACTGGTAGTTTTCCTGCTCTCTTTCTGCCTCTGGTCTTTACATGTTGTGTTCATTCATTACTCATTCTCCCCCCTTGCCTCTCTGCTTCTTGATGATTTAGTTATTACAGTCTTGCTAAACTCTCACTGTTTTCATTGCGTGCTTTACCACCATAATGTCTTAATACTTTTGTTTTCTCAAAGTGGAGCTATTGTGCTCAGTCCTAGCTCCACATTTCTATTCTTGGACTGTACTGGAGTAGATTTGTGTGACTCACAATACAAAATAATCCTTATTTATTTTGTACTGGGCTTTTGCGCAGCCGCTTTAGTTCATCTTTTAGCTCTCTCCTTCCTCCTTCCATCCATTTAATCCAGCTTTCTTCTGAGTGGCTGCTGCTCACAAACAAAAGATGTAAACAGCAGATTGGTAGGACTTCTGTGCTCAAAGCCAGAGCTCTTATGAGACCAAATTAGAAAACTGTCTGAAGCCGATTGTTTAGAACATTATGAAGTCTGAGCTTTCAGCTCACATACGGTGACCTCACTGTGAGCATGGATATTTTAAAAGGTTTATATGTATGATAGAAATAGGGAAAAGTACATTAGTTCTTTAAATCCAGGTTTTAAGTAGTGGCCTCACTTCAGTTGAGTGCATTTGCAAAACACTGTTTCATTATAGGCCTGCATGTCCTGCAGTTATATTTAGAAACGTAGTAGGTTTTGAGTTTTGAATGACTTAGTTTTGCACGTTTGTGGAGCTCAATGGGGGCAAATATTTAGTTCTTCTTGGCTTGAAAGGTCAAAAGCTTAAAGATTTATTGTTTTAAACTGATAATATTCAGAGTGTGCAGTGATCGCTGTCTGTTTGCTACTGTCAAGTGGGGATTTTATATTTTTACACTAGTGCAAATATGGGCTTTGACGTATTTACATGAACGACTAAATCAAACTACGTGTCAGGCAGCGGGTTCAGGAGCAGCAGGAGGAGAGGAATCAGCGTTTGTTTCAGAAATGTGGCAGGGAGCAGGTTGGGTTCAGTTAGCTCTCATCATGGAACAGAAAACTCACTGAGCTCGTCATCTCAGGGTGAACAAATTCTACTAAAGCTGCTTTCTGGAACAAGGCCCTGATTTTCGGGGGAGAGTATGTTGTTAATAAGTACTTTTATTTCCGTAACGGGAAGTGCTGCACTTCATTAACGACAGAAATCCATCTTCATGGAGGTGATCAATGAAAGATGGTCATTGAGGCAGAGGCATGCGAGGAGCTGTCACTTGTGCACATTTCATACTGTTCTGATTAAGTGCACGTCCAGCCTAGCATGTAAACACCAGGTCCGGTTAAATCACATAGTGTGTAACAGTCAGTATGAAAAAGGAAATGTGTGTGTTTAACCTCAGCTGGTGTCTCTATCCCCCCTGGTAACAGCAGGGTCCACATGGGGCACAAGCCTGTCTTGTTGGGAATATCTGGTTCACACAATCACTCCTGCTGCTCCTCTCACATCTTTCTCACTGTCATTCTCTCATTTCCAGGTGTTGAGGAGTCACTTGCTGCTCTTCCGTCTGCCCCAGCATCACTTACAGCTCGGCTTCGACATGTACGAACAGTTGCCTCCCATTAGGGCCAAACGTTTGGAGAGAGTCCTGGGACTGCAGGAGAGCAGTGTTGACAAAGGCGACTGAAAAGAGTGATAAAAAACCTGAAGAAAAATAACAGGGTTGTATTCTCAAAATAGGCTAGGTAGAGGCGAGATGAGGTAGCAGAAGGTGCTGCACCACAGCGAGATGTTCGTTTCAAGGCATCACAATGTCACATGTAGTTGTTTCTGTGGCCCTTTTTTCTTTAAACTAAAGCTGAGTTAGACTCAGTTTCTAGTGCTTATGGTACCCTGATGAGGCTCTCACCGGAAATTCTCTGAAAATTATTACATTGAGGCCAAAGTTTAAATAAAAATGTCAAATGTTTTCTTCCTGTTTTGTTACTAATATGTTTGTATATTTGCAAAAAATGCCACCATGTGTTCCAGGTTCTTAAAAAAATATGGCAGGGCAGTTCTTCCTGCTTCACTAGTGCCTGAAATGATCTGAAATGATTGTAAATAAAACAGTGATGTTTGAATAAAATATGATGTGTAACCTTTTATCCCATTAAACCTGAGCTCTGAAATTTTTACCTGCTTAACCCTTGTATGGTGTTCGGGTCTGTGAGACCCGTTTTCAGTTTTTTTCAAAAGAAAAATTAAACAATTAATTATTTTTTCAACCTGAAATTCATTGGCTTTGGCTTATTTTCTGTGAAGAACATAAATCCGAACTAATTTTCAATGACCTCATACTGTACCTCCCCCCACGCATTTACATTACATACAAGGTGTTCGGGTCCACTGGACCCAGGTCTAATAAAAGTGTTGAAAGTGTAGGTCCTGTGTTCCCACACTCTGTCTTCCTCCTTTCTGGTGCTGCTGATAGTGTTTTCTTCCCCTCCTGCTCCCGCACAAAGTTGCAACATTGTTGAAAATTCAACTATCAACACCGTCTGCTCTGACATTCCCACACATTTTACCCTCTTTCTTGAGGGATCCAAATTTTATTTTCTCATACCCTGTCCCACCTGCAAATTAGGGGCATAATACTATAAATAAGACTTTGCCAGTGTGGTTCTTTATCACAACTGATCAAGATGGCAAAAGATTATCTGCTGCGAGGGCCATCCAATTGATTTTGGAAGAGAGAGGGGCTTCGGATGATGATGTTGACAAAGAGGTTTCAGAATATTTCACATTTCTGAAAATTCAGAGTCTGACAGTGACTTTGAAGAAGAGGATGAGGTTGAGCACCATTTAGTAACAAAACGAAGACGAGTACCCCATCTGCAGCCAGCTCCAGGACCAGAACAAGCCCACCAGACAGCAAGTGAAGAAATATGGATGTCAATAACTGGTGAAATTGAATGGTCTTCTTGCCCAAGAAATGAGCCACCCTGCAGAGCTGTTACTGTGATAAGCCAGGGCCAACACGGCTGACAGTTACTCATGTGCAGGACATCAAGTCTTCATTTGAGCTTTTCATCCCAGATTCCATCCAGAAAATTATTCTGGATTGCAGTAATCTAGAAGGAAGGTGTGTTTTTGGAGAGAGGTGGAAGGAGATGGACCAAATTCATCTAAGAACCCCAAAGGCCTACTTTGGGGTTCTTATCCTTGCAGGAGTTTTCAGGTCCAAAGGGGAATCCACAGAATCCCTGTGGGATGCAGAAACCGGCAAGAACCTTTCCGTGCATCAATGTCTCTGGAAAACTTCCACAAAATTTCCAGGATTATCCGTTTTGATAACCGAGACGACAGACCAGCTCGACGGCAGAGAGACAAGCTAGCTGCCATCAGGACAGTGTGGGATAAGTGTGTGCACCACCTCCCCTGTTTTACAACCCTGGGCCTAATGTCACCATTGATGAGCAGCTGATCCCATTTAGTTGTGAAACATATTGCTTCACGTGTAAATGTGTTGTGTCTTTCCACTCACTCCACTTGATTATAACTGATTTATTTTTTATAACATTTTATAAAAAAAAAAAACGAGAAGCACATTAATTCATAAATGTGATCTAACAAAGGTAAAGGGAAAAAATTAACCATGTTTGCTGTTCATATGGTTTGTAATTGGGATGAAGTAAACATCTGTTGAGTAATTTAACATAAAATTGTTTGATAGTGTTAATTTGGAAAGCCAAAACTCTAGCGGGTCCACCAGACCCATGAACACTGGCTGAGTAACAAAAATATGAACAGTCAAAGGAGCTTGCAAAGAAAAGCGTCTGGACTTCTTTTCTTACGATGACCTGGATGACATGAGAACCTTCACAGACAAAAATATGAACACCACACAAGGGTTAATATTAGTATGTTTGTGAAACATCCTGTGTAAATCAGACATTCATGGGGGAGTGAATGTAGCATAGAAAGTTGTGGTCAAATGTGGCGGAACTGTTGTTTACTGAATCATATGAACGCACATTTGAGGAAGTAGAGAGACTTTCCTGTACTGTCCCACTGCCTGTGTGTGTCTTCTCCATTATGAATTAACCTCTCCACGATGAAGTTGTCTGTCCTCTTGTGCATCTTGGGAATCGGTATTAATATATTGTTTTCATTATTAGGGACATTTTTAAGAGAAGCATCGAAAATATAAATGCGAATTTGACTGCATGTTTTTTCCCCCCCCACATAGCCTGGACTGGATTCTGTAGAAGTACAGAAGTCAACACCAATGATGTCGAGAAGGTGAACTTGGAAATTTCTCTGGAGGTATGGGAGATAATCTTGAAGTAATAATAATAATAATAATAAAATATGATAAGTTACACGTGAATTATGTAGTGTTCATCTATAAGAAAGTGCAGCTCTTTGCAACCTTAAAAGACAAACTGTAAAAAAATATATTGTGAAAAGTTAGTGTGCTGCATTTAAAATCACACTTCAGTAAAGGTACAGATGCAGATTTACGTGTCTAGTCTTGCCTGCATATTTATAATCTCTTTTTTTATTATTATTATTTTAACGGACACTGTGTGGAAGCTATGTTAAAGGATGCATGTGGAGTCAATATCACCTTGACCACTGATTTTTAGCTCCTTTAACATTTATTTTTGTCGTTCAGCTTCCTGAGAAGACTTTCCTTTTCAACTGGACTCCAAATAAGGTAACAGTGGGAGACCGGGGATAGTTGTAACATTTTTGACATTTCTGTCTGTAAATTGGAGCTCTTTTAAGGTAGTGGATTCAAAATGTAATGCAAAGTATTTACATGTCTCTGCTATTAAATAGTGCAGCTATTTTCTCTGCAGCACAATTACCCATTGCATGGTATGGCCTCAAACACAAAGAGTGAAATGTTACAATTAACCCCATAGTCTGGGTTAGTTGTAACATATCCTGGGGTGAAATGTAACACAATGAAATAAGGGTACTGACAAAACATTAACATGTAATCTTTGTTTATTCAACACATGAATGCACTTACATCCATTTATGTAGCGTGTGTGTGTGACAGAATGCAGAAATCTAGCTTTTGAACATATTCCAACCCCCCAAAAAAGACAAATTATGGAATTTTCTGCAACTGAATATTTCATTAATTTTGGTTGGTCTTCCTTGAGTTTGGCCTCATTGGCTCAGTGGGCATTATAACCTACAACTCTTGCACCAATTTTGAACATAACAATGAAGCTGAAAAAATGTAGTTGTTCACCAGCATCGCAATTCCATTACTTTTTATCATGGCTTACCTTGGTGTGGTTTGCAAAGTGCTTCAGAAAGATGAGGAAATCTGTTTCTTGCACCCATCCTGATTTATTTCCACTACCAGTACTTCCTACTGGTCCATCTCTGACACAGTCTGCATAATGTATGTGTGGGAACACAAACAGTGGAGGAATTGTGTTGCCAATGGCATTAACCGCATATACAAATGCGACCAGTCTCTT